AAGATCTCTACCCATTTTCGGCAGGGATTGAGATATCAGGACTCTTACAAAAGTATAAAGGAAAATCTATAAATTTTTACTGATAATGATGAGCATTGAGCAGGAACTTCCTGCTGGGAAATCAAGCATTACTTCAACAGGAACATGGCCGGCCGTCTTGATTTTTTTAATACTAGTAAATAGCATTTGGCCTATTTTATGAAGCACTTGAATTAGTCAGATTTTCTTTTGATTAATACTAATTAATTCAATTTTTTAAACATCTTTTGTATTCTTTTCTTTTTGGACTTGTTGGTAACACACTAACATTAGCCTTGAAGAATAATTGATGCCATCCTAACGAGAAGTGAGGAGCCATTCATTCACCATTATAAATAATTTCACCTTCATCAAAGAGTAATAAACAAATAACATCCGACCATTTGATTCATTAAATCAATATTAAATGGTGCATTAGCGGTGATTGCAGAGGCTGATTCGATGATTTTAGATGAATTCTTTAGTTTTAGATGAGAGACGTGATGATTTGCCTCTTCAATGTCTCCATATTAATCACCATATTGATCAAGTTTTATTTTCTGTTTCCACCCAAAAAGAGTTTGCTAGAATTTAATATTCGAGTAACACATGATTGCTGCCAAATTTATACGCAAACAATATATCTCTACTGCCAACAACACTCCTTTTAATCTTAGGCAATACATTAACAATATATCTACGTGGAATATATTGGCTACTGCACATTTCCAAAACTGTCAAGAATCAGAATTTGCTCCTGTGTTTGTGCTTTTCCTTTGGCACAAGTTTTAATGTGTATTGTTTTTGCATGCAATTGACTAATCAGCTAATACTTGAAACTAATGTATTCATTTTGGATTTTTTGTATCAATGTTAATCACTACATTTGTCACTATGAATCCATATGTGTGGGATTTATAATTTATAAAATGGGTTTTATATGATAAATAAAGCATAATGCATTAATTCTATATTATATATAGCATTTATGGACTATAAGATTAGTGATGGGGATGTTTGCACTAAGAATTCAATTATTAGACTCAAGAAATTTATAAATTAGTCTGACAGAATTAGCTTTTATTATTGTCACAAATATGATTAACAGCTGGAACGCACCACCGATAGTAACTAGAATCATTAAATAATAATCAAATAAACATTAAAATAATAATCTAGGAACCACTCCAATTGTCGTTTTGTATGAAAGCTTGTCTCGGGCAAAGGTTGAGCAGTATTACTTTTTTAAGTTTCAAAATTAAAAAAAAATGTATACTTTTTTTTAATAATTTTAACAATTTTTAATTAAATTGGATAAAATTATTGTTAAAAAATTTCTTCACTTTCAAGTACGCATGAGGTTAAACATCATCTTAAAAAAATATTATTACACTTTATGTACAAAACATATTTAAAATCGTGATTAAAAAAAATTATTACATGTCATATTAAAAAAAGAAATTATTGTTACACGTCATATATTAAAATATGTTACAAGTTATATTGAAAAAAAAATATTATTATCTGTTATTTTGAAAAAATATTATTATTACACGTTATATTAAAAAAAATTATTATTACTGTTTAAAAAACTTGTTACACTTTGTGTTTAAAATATTTTTATTAGTTGCAAATCAAAACTTTAAATGTTAACTCTCTTCATTTTTTTATATTTTTTTAAGATTTGACATCGATTAAAGTATTTTTAACATATTTTCATAAATCAAAACATAATTTTTTTTATCTAAAATACCTGCTAAAAATTAAAAAAAAAATTTTAAATCTTAAATTTATAAATTTTAAATATTTAAATTTATTAGTGTCTATATCTCGAATTGATCCAATTAAAAATTATTTCAAACATTTATGATCATTTCTACTATTTTAGTTTCATCGAAACACCAAAAAATTAAAATTTTCAAGCTTAAGTACATCAAAATCAACCTTTAGAGTTTTGAAAGCATCAAGAAGAAAAATTGAGATCATAACAAACGAATATCGATAAAAAAATGATAAAATTAAAAAGAGATGAATAGTGAGAGAGATCCAAAGTAAACATCGATATAAAAAAAATTATGATAAATAATTTAATTTATTTATAATAATTTAAATAATATTTTTGTCAAAATCATAACTAAATATGATTGGAAACTGTTAATTTTAACAAAACCACCATCTTATTTGTCTTTGAAAGATTGTAATTGACTTTGATTAGTCGCAGCTCCATTTTTATCCAGATACTCAACAAATCTATTGAAGTAACTATGTTGCAGGTTTCGGTTCCCAAAAACCTCTGCTGCTTCCTGAGCTCTGACCCTTAAATTCTCCCCTTCTTCAGAAACCATAGCCAGTCTTAGAGCCTTAGCTATGTCAGCTCCGGTGAATGATCCATCGTCACTTCTATCTACTTCCACAGCCAGACCTTTCTCCACCAAAAGCCTTGCATTCAAGGGTTGGTCAATAATGAATGGAAAAACCACAAGACAATGCCCAAACTGCAACGTTTCTATAATTGAACCCCATCCAGCGTGAAACAACGAACCTCCGATTGATGGGTGTTCTAAAATTTCCGATTGCGGTGCCCAACCAATGCAGACAACTCCTCTTCCACGTACACGACCGCTAAAGCCTGGAGGCAGAGCATTGTGATCACCAGTAGCCCAATCAGGCTTCCTTAGTGCCCATAAAAATGGCAATCCGGATAGCTCCAGCCCATATGCTATCTCATGAACTTGTTCCTTGCTTAGTTTACACTCACTACCAAATCCTACAAACACAACTGACTTGGGTTTTTGTCCGTCCAACCACTCAAAGTTTTCAATCCATGATTTGTCAGTGATTCTTCTTCCTTCCGCTGGTTTCTCTGGCAAGAGTAAACCAATAGGAATCACCGGTTTGCCTGTTATCTTCTCACATATGTTAAAGTACTCACCTTCGTATTCAGTGCAACTACGTATAGCAAAAGCTTTACATGCCTGAATAACTTTAGCGAGCCTTTCAGCATCTGTGATACCCGAAGCATTATGTCCATAAAAGCCTTTATAATAGGTAGTGGCTTCGAAATTCCGATAAACTACGGAAGATGGAAAACCTACCCACTCAGGTGGTGAAGTTAAACTTTCCGGAGAAGGTCTCATTCTTTTATGGCCATCACCAACAAGGGATTCTGGATGCCCCATGAATGCGAATTGAGAAGCGGAGAAAACTCTGTACATAAGGAGGGGGATATTGTGCTCTTGGGCAATTTCAGCCGCCCAATAAGAGATGAAATCGACAAATATCCAATCTGGTCGCTGATCCGAAACGAACCGCTTAACAGGGCCCTGGAGGAGATCGTACGCAATCTTCAAGTACTGAATTTTCTCGAAAGAAACGTCCATAGTCGCCTCGCTGCCTTCTGGCAAGAATTCTTTCTCCATGGTTGGCAGTTGGAACTCCACCAAATTGATTAGAGTGTCTAAATTAGGAGGAACTTTAGGGAGTCTTTGGATGTTTTTTGGGGTTGATATGAAGGAGACCCTTACTCCAGCTTTGGCCAAGGCTACAGAGAGGTTAAAAAACGGTATTAAGTGGCCAAAAGCCGACCACGGAAGCATCATTACATGAATATCTCTAGCCATATTTCACAATGATTGATACCAAAAGGACCCTAAACATATCTACATCTATATAGTGGAATTAATGTCCAAGAATTAAGCTCACTGCTCATCATGAATTATTGAGTTGGTAGTCTTAATGATTACTTAGTCAGGCAAAAGACAAATGTGAAATGTTGATATGGACACTGGTTCATAATTAATTATTAATTAATTATATAAATAAACCGCACAAATGCCTGATTTACCCTTTGGGGCATCTTTGGATAGTTAGTAAAATTAGGTTTGAGCCTTTGACGTATGGGATGATGCTATGCAAATTGCCCTGAGTCGTCCCTGATTAGTAACAGTGCTGCTCACTTTTTTAGCAGAGTTTGGCCTCACTGCCTCAGCGTTGGCTTGGGGAAGTGCCAGATTTCTTAATGCTTACAAGTTACAAGAGAAGAATTACT